CTTAGGGATGATTTTAAGAATAATTTTAATAGGAATAACAGCTTCTAATATTTGGTTTTTAATTTGGTTTTATAGGGGTCTATATTTTTTGTATTTTGTATTTGTACTTGTTTTAATATGCTGTGCACCGCCCTGAGTCCTGCGGGAGAAGGGCGGTATATAAATTAAATTAATAAATAAATAATAAATAAATAAATAATAAATAAAATAAATGAAAATGGAGACGCTGCTTGGCATCGAGATTTGGACCTAACCACGATGTGTTTACATGTCTTCGGGCAAAGACTGTAGCCTTTTTAAGGAAGCCCACATTTGTGTGGTTCGCACAAGGCATTAGGTCAAGCCAATGTGTAAGGTGTGTTAGGGGAAAATAAGTATTCAGCCGCAATACTGTGTGTTTCTATGTGTAGAGAAAGAGAGAGAGAGGAAGGGAGAATGAGAGAGAGATAGAAAGGGAAAAAGAGAGAGAGGGAGAGAGAAAGAGAGAGAGAGGGAGAGAGAAAGAGAGAGAGAGAGGGAGATAGACAGACAGAGAGACATACTGGGTCAAAGATATGTTACCCAAGAGATTGGAAGGACGTAGTAAGTGTGTCAGAGGCGAATGGGAGGGTGTTCTTGTATTTTACTCAAAAGGACCCAAATGCTGGGTCTCCCTGGAGTAATCATTTACAAATCATTTTCTTTGCTAGGGATTTTTTCCCGGGTCCTAACCGAACACCTCAGCTTGGAGGAAGGCCAGAATCTGGATCTCCACTGCGTTAACAATAGAGGCAACACCTCAGCTCTAGAATGGAAGGATCCCCGTGGTTTTGCGATATTTTTCAATGACTGGCAAGGTAGGATGAAACTGGGTGGCTCAAACAAACTTTTTCCATCAAAAAGAGACAGGAAGGGGATTTTCCTACTGGCCTTTGAAGTGCAACATGCCGACATAAATCCATTTTCACAACCTGCCTCTTTAAGCCGCAAGATCTCCACCCTATGGTTAGGATGTACTGTAGGAATAAGGTAATAATTCCGGTAGTTTAATCATTGCCTCCACGGTTTGTTTTTTTTTTAAGAAATACTTTAAAAAAATCCCACTCCACTCTCTTCAACAAGAAAACACTCTGCATGATGTTCAGTTGTGTTGATGTCCAGTTCTGTCCCAGACAAGCACGTATTGTTTTTTTTTTTAATGAAGATATGTACTCATTGTGGGTCCTCGGTGCTCTCTGAGCTTGGTGCTTTTCTTTCAGGTGTTTCAACACCCGAACTAGACAACATCATCAGCGTACCTACAACTTACAACAGTTCATTTAGGGACTGTTTGAAGTTACAAGGATACTGGAAAAAGGGATAACTGTTTTTCACACTTACAACTGTGGCAGCACCCCCCCCCCATGGTCACGTGATCAAAATTCAGACACTTGGCACCTGACTCCTATTTGCGACGGTTTGCAGTGTCCCGGGGTCACGTGATCTCCTTGTGTAACCTTCTGCCAAGCAAAGTCCACGGGGAAACCAGATTCGCTTAACAATCGTGTTAGTAACTTAACAACTGCAGTGATTCATTTAACCATTGTGGTGAGAAAATAGGGCCAAATTCACTTAGCAACGGTCTTGCTTAGCAGCAGAAAGTTTCGGTTCAATTGTGGTTATAAGTCAAGGGTTAGGGTTAGGGTTTTTTTTCCCCTGCATGCCCCTTTTATGGGACGTGAGATCACAACTCTTCCTAAAGCCCTATGACTTCTCTTCTGTGTGGCTCCTCTTGTGGGAATTAAGACAACTGGTATCAGTAAAGTTCTTTCCACGCTCCATACGTTGATATGGTTTCTCTCCTGTCTGGATTTTTTTATGAACAGCCAGACTTTGACTCCTACTAAAACTCTTCCCACACTCACTACATTGATATACAGGGATAGAATACAGGGATAGAATCAAGATCACGTGAAGTGTTAATATCATTTTACAATGCCCTGGTAAGGCCACACCGCATCCAGTTTTGGTCACCACGATGTGAAAAAGATGCTGAGACTCTAGAAAGAGTGCAGGGAAGAGCAACAAAGATGATCAGGGGACTGGAGGCTAAAACATACAAGGAACGGTTGCTGGAATTGGGTATGTCCAGTTTAAAGAAGAGAAGGACAAGCTATTCTCCAAAGCACCTGAGGGCAGGACAAGAAGCAACGGATGGAAACTAACCAAAGGGAGAAGCAACCTAGAACTAAGGAGAAATTTCCTGACAGAGGGAACAATTAATCAGTGGAACAACCTGCCTCCAGAAGCTGTGGATTCTCCAACACTGGAAGTTTTCGAGAAGAGACTGGACAGCCATTTGTCTGAAATGGTATAGGGCAGACATGTCAAACTCGCGACGTATCGAGACGGTTTTGCCATTGCCGGCAATGGGGTGGGCGCGGCTTCCAGATGACGCATCCGGCCCATGGGCCAGCAGTTTGACACCCCTGGTATAGGGTTTCCTGCCTGAGCAGGAGGTTGGACTACATGACCTCCATGGTCCCTTCCAACTTTATTATTATTATATAACTTCTCTGTGTGACTCCTCTTCTGGGAACCAAGATTACTGCTAGGAATAAAGGTCTTTCCACACACCATGCATTGATACAGCTTCTCTCGTGTGTGGATCCTATTATGGGAGGCAAGATTCCTACTGTTCCTAAAACCCTTTCCACACTCCATGCATTGAGATGGTTCCTCTCCTGTGTGGATCCTCTTGTGGAAATTAAGACTATTGCTCCAAGTAAAGGTCTTTCCACACTCTATGCATTTATAAGGTCTTGCCTTGCCTGGTTAACAAATCCAGTCCATGTTTAGGTTTACCCCTTCATATTGAGACAGAACCAATTCACTACTCAGAAGAATGAGTTTTCGGAAAATTCTGATCCATATGTCCGTAGATATCTATTTATCTCTCTCTTTCAAACAGTCACAAGAGACAGAAGGTATGAACTTCTGCGTTACTCTGACGATTCACTGTCCATTCGTCTTTCCAATATAACAAGACACGATGAAGGGCTGTTCAGATGTCTTTACTACAGCGATACCATTGGAAGCAAACTAGTGAGCGTTACAGTTTGGGGTAAGAGCTGAAATTCCTGCCTTTCAATGGATGATGGCTTGTGGAGATGGGTAGGATAGTTTTGAGACGAACCATCACTTAACAACTGTGGCAAGAAAGCTCATAAAATGGGGCAAAGATCACTTAACCGTCTCAATTAGCAACAGAAATTTTGGGCCTGTTAAGTCGAGGAGTATCCGTAATCTTATAGTTAATTTGTTTATATCTCCCTTCCAAATACGTGGGTGGGGTAATCCTATCCCCATCCTGTTCAACTCAAATAGAATTCCAATCTGAAGACTACATCCTAATGAATTCCCTTCTTTTTATAGCTCCACCTTCCAAACCTTTATTGGAAATTTTGAGGACCCCAGAAAAACACACAGAAGAAAATCTTGTCTTAAGGTGTTCCACTGATGACAGCTGGCCTGCTCCTCAGATCACCTGGCTGCTACAGAATGGAGTGGAGATCTTTGGTATGTTTCAAATAACTTTATTTTTTCTTTCTGGACTAGCCTTTGCCTCTTCATAGCCTTTCTTAAATAACACTGAAAAATGCTAAGCAATTACCTGCATTAAAATCAAGTTGTTCCTTTATTTAATTACGTGTTGGGTCCATTGTGTTAGCAGTGAACTCGGTTTATCATCAGCATTCCACACAAAAAAAAAACATTGAACATTTAAGCATTTAAAAAAATATATGTTCCAGATGTTTTGGGATTGCACCAAATTACTATCAGTATAATCTGTGCTTTCTTTTGTGCTTGTCATTCTACTTCTATTTGCTGGTCTTTGTATCTAGTGATTTTCTCCAGTTCCTTCTCTTCTCTTTCTCTTCTGCTGCCTCCAGGCACTGCCACATCCACTATCCAGACTTTTTAGTCTTGCTTATGATATTATTATTATTATTTTGTTATGATGATGATTATCTCTTCTTGCATTCCTCATTTTAGGAAATGCTCAACACCAACTGAAAGCCAAGAGGTTCTGTTCCGTAAGCAACTTGACTATCTATGCATTCCCCCAGGGCTCTATCATTTCTTGTGTAATACACCACAAAGCCCTAAGAAGAAGAAATTTAACTGTGACTTTGCACCTGGACCATGCCAGTAAGTGGAGAGCTTCAGGGCAGGAGGGAAAACATGTTTAAAAAAATAAGCAGAATAAATAAGACCCTCTTAGGAATTACACAACCATTTTCACGGGCAGCATGCCTTATGGGAAACTTTGCCAATCCTTGTAACTTTTGCACTACTAACATGAGAGATGATAGTTGTAAGTAAAGGACTACTTGTAGACCAGTGGTTCTCAACCTGTGGGTCGGGACCCCATTTGGGGTCGATCGACCATTTCACGGGGGTCGCCAAGCAAGGCCGTCTGCCATTTTTTTTGTCCGCCATTTTTTTTGTCCGCCATTTTTTCCCCTTTTCCGGCGGGTGCCTTACCTCCCTTGGGCTGGGCCAGCTGGTGGTCGGCCTGCTCCGTCTCTGCCGCTTGCCAGCTACGCCTCGGCCGGCGCAGGGGGCGGAACCACACATGCGCGGCGCTCCTGGGCAGGGAAAGTCCTCGACTTACGACCGGTTGGGTAGTCCTTGACTTATGACCGGTTTAGTCCTCGACGTACGACCGGTTTAGTCCTCGACTTACGACCGGTTTAGTCCTCGACGTACGACCGGTTTAGTCCTCGACTTACGACCGGTTGGGGTCGCGGCATTAAAAAGGTTGAGAACCACTGTTGTAGACAGTTTCATTAGATGACCCACATCTGGGCAAGATCCCTCCTCCATTCGAAGCATGGCTGCTTTTAGATCTTGCCCTGACCAGAGAATCAAACTAGATGATCTCTAAGATCCCTTCCAATCCTGTGATTCTGTAATAGACATATACATATATTTCATCAGCCCTGCTTAGTATAGACAATGGTCGAGAATAGTGGATTCTAGAAGGCCATATTATCCAGAAGACCATATCGGAGCTAAATGGATCTTCAAATCTAGTAGGACTCTCATGTTCTGACCTTTATATATCTTATGCTTTCCTTGTTTCCTTTTTCACACATTCAGAACAAAAACAGAAGACAGAAGAAACATTTAGCATTCCAACATTGTCCCCAACCAGGGAAGCAGAAACTCAAAGTTCTAATGCCACCAACGGTAAGACCATGACATTGATCCTCTGTTATTTCTGGGCATCACCCTCAACTTACTTCCAGCTCTTCTCCATAACATCAATTTCATTTCTCCTGGCCTTTCCATGACCTTATTTTTCATCACATCAACAGAATCCAATCCAATATTCAACGTGACAGAAGGAAACCCAACCACACAAACACCGTTCCCAAGTAATCCAATATTCAACGTAATGGAAGGAAACCTAACCACACAAACACCATACAGAGGTTCGGGCAATCCATCATACGTTGCTTCCACATTGCTCCTAATGTTCAACTGATGTGCTTTTAATACTTTGCTCTCCTTCCTGATCTGATGCCAGAGGCTTGGTGACACAGAACTTCCAAGCAGAAGAGATGGCTCAGGTTAGGGAAGATGATAAAGGAATGTAGTTGATGCAGGGTCCAAAACTTTTTCACTTCGGAGTATTCGCTTAAAAGATGCACCCTTTTTGTGTTTCTCTATTCAACTTCCTGGAATTAAGTGCCTTAACTGTGTACGGGCATGGGACTCTTTATAAATTGAGATAAATAGGTTTATAGTCTTTCTTGGCAAGGTACGCTCAGTACACTAAGCTATAAATCATAATTTGGATTCAGACACTTAGCCAAAGCAAAACTAATGGCATTCCAGGTGGGTTCATATTGTTCTTATTAATTGGTTTTGAATNGTTCCTATAGAACTTGTGCCCTAAGCAGGGGGTTGGATTAGATAACCTTCAAGACCCTTTGAAAACTATAAAACTCTGTGTATAGTCCAGAACTTTCTGGGAAATAGATAGTTGGAGAATGCTGGTGTGGTGGGCCCTGACATCTTACTCCATGGAAGCTCAGCAGGTGGAGAAATACAATTTCCCATCTCTCCAAACCCCAATATTTTTCTGCTAGGAAATAGCAGAATAAAGATGACAAAACTCAAATGTTTTCTGTCTCTTTTTCCCCAAAACAGAAACAAACATGACTTACAAAGGCTTTATGGAGGGACAAGCCATCTTTTTATTCCCGGGCCTTGTGTCTATGCTCCTTCTCGCTCTCTTCATCGTGGTCCTTCTCTTTGTGGTGAAGCTGTGGAAAGCACATAGGGACTGGAAAAAAGGTAACGGGGGGGGGGGGGGAGAAGAAAAACTTAATGCACATTGGAACAGTTTCCTCTTCTGCCCACATGCCCAAAAGTTTCTAAAACCTGTATTCAGCACCCACAAATGTCTTGTGGTGCTTCAAAATCCTGAAAAGCACTCTTAAAGGGAAATGATCCTCAACATCTTCAGAGAACAGTTGACCTTCTCTGCCAGTGACTGATTTCATGTTCCTGAATTTGTATAGCAGAATTTAAAACTTCCAGTGAGCTTGTTTGCAAGTGCCAGTCAGATTTAAGCCAGTATTAAGCCTAGAATTAGGAAAAAGCTTTCACCTGAGAATTGGGATGTCTGACTCAAGAACGCCTTGGAGGTAGGATAGTCATTATGCCCACTTACTTGAGTGTAAGGCCCCATTGCAATTAACGAGGCTCCTCCCAAATAAACATGGAACATTATACGGGTAGTCCTCAACTTATCACCTTAATTGAACCCAGAATTAGTTGTTGCAGTCCTAACTGGGGGGCATCACCTGACTAGACCTGGTTTGTTTGTTTTTTTACTATTTTTACGGTGCTTGTCAACAAATGCCACGGTTGCTAAGCAAGCACAGTGGGTCATTCAGCAAATCCATTTTACCCAACGGCTGCTTTGTGCTGGAAACCGGATGTAAACACAGGTATCTGGCAAAAAAAAAAAAAGACAGAAATTCCAGTCACGTGACCACAGGATGCTTCAAACAGCCGTAAAGGTGAGCCGGTTGCAAGTGACCCAACGTGTGATCACGTGACTGTGTGTTCGTGTGCACGTCTGGGGATATTGTAACTCCCAAAACAAGTCATAGGTAGATTTGGAGGAGCCGTCGCAACTTCGAATAGTCATTAAGTGACCGGTCATAAGTCAAGAACTACCAGTAGATATGTGGCCTAAGTCTGCCTTGTCACAACAGATATCTGGACTAATACTCTGCACCTCATTGTTGTCCCTCCGTTATATAGAAAATAATCCTTCTGAACAACCCATTGAGAGTTACAGGCCTAAAGCAAACGAAGCCCCTTGCAGACTCAAGAAGAATATATGCAGTAAGTATAAATGAGATTTCTTTGGGTTTTCAGGCAGGGCAGAGGCTGGAATTAAGAAAAGCAGGTGTTCCATGGCTGTTTTTTTACCAGCTGTTTTGGGGCTGAAATGTGAACTAGTATCAGAGCTAAACAGAAATGAGCTCGAAGTAGCACTGACCGATGCCGTTATTTTATGCAGCAATGCCCTGGAGGATCAGTGAGAAGTATGTAATTCAAGAATCGTCTACCCGGACGCCAAAACCTTCAGAAGAAAGTCAGGATTCTTCAGTCTTTGAAAAAGAGTTCTCCCACTTTAAAGAAACGGATATGTAACACTAGGAACAATCTTTCACTGTCTTTAACAACAAGAACCACCTTCTCTTCCATTTTTTTCTTCATGCGCTGCACCGTTCTGCAAAAATCTCTTCAAAAATCCAGATTTTGGAGAGGATTTCAGATGAGAACAATATTGCAAATAAAGTGATAACCGTACTATAAAGGCCCTTGAGAACTTGTGTCAGTTGTTATTTAGCCGTTAAATTCCTAGTGTTGATTTCGGGATATACGAAGTTATTTTATTATATTACTCCAAGAAATCTTTTTAAACTTCCCTAAAAGGAAGGTTAGGATGATAGCCCCCACACTGCAACCTCTTTGGTTTTGTTCAACATCCGTTACAAGCACACAGTATAGTACGGTATCCATTTGCCAAATATTCTAGCGTGGATTTTCCCCACAATGGGATTTTCCCATGTACTTTACCAGGAAACGCAAATAGGCCAGGCTTGAAAAGTGAGCACCCCCTAAACATACCCTTTCGCTCCGAATCCAATGGCGAGGTCCATTTTCCTCTCTGAATTCATGGGGACGTAACCCTAACCCCTAGCACATCCAAGCAGCAGAAATCAAGATAACCAGGAGAGGGCAGCAGTTTTGGGATAAAATCTCCCCCTACTGGTCATGTGGAGGTTTCCAACCTATCTTATATTAATTGGAGCTTAATTTTCATCAAACACAGTTCCTTTGTGGAAAAAGAATTCGCTTCAAATGTGCCAAAGTGAACAAAGAAGGCCTGTCATAAGAAAGGCCGTTTGTAGATTTGATTTAAAAAATTATCAGAAATAGCATTGTTGATTAAATTGCCCTGTAAAATGTCTCCCTCCCTCCCTTACTCACCTTCCTTCCTTTCCTTCCTCATGCTCTATTCCTTCCTTCCTTTCTTCCTTCCTTCCTTCCTTCCTTCCTTCCTAAAATATTTGTAGTTCAGGGTTGAACTGTTGCAAACCTTGGTGCTCTCTGAGCTTGGTTGTTTTCTTGCAGACGTTTCATTACCAAACTGAATAACATCATCAGTCTTTCCTTCCTTCTTTCTTTCTTTCCTTCCTTCCTTCCCTCCCTCCTTCCTCTTGCTCTATTCCTTCCTTCCCTCCCTCCCTCTCTCCTTCCTTCCTCATGCTCTATTCCTTCCCTCCCTCCTTCTTTCCTTCCTCTTTCTCTCTTTCTTCCTTCCCTCCCTCCCTCCTTCCTTCCTCATGCTCTATTCCTTCCCTCCCTCTCTCCTTCCTTCCTCATGCTCTATTCCTTCCCTCCCTCCTTCTTTCCTTCCTCTTGCTCTATTTCTTCCTTCCTTCCTTCCCTCCCTCCTTCCTTCCTCATGCTCTATTCCTTCCTTCCTTCCCTTCCTCCTTCTTTCCTTCCTCTTGCTCTATTTCATCCTTCCCTCCCTCTTGTTCTATTCCTGCCTTCCTTCCTTCCCCCCACCCTTCCTCCTTTTACCTTCTCCCTCCCTCCCTCCTTCTCTTTCTTCTCTTTCTCCTCCCTCCCTCCTCATAAAATTAGAAAGCTGCCAATCTGCTTTAATCCTAAGCCTTTGGTTTAAAAAAGAAAAGAAAAGAAAAGAAAAGCAAACAGACTTGGACGATACCATTCTCCTGGAGCCCAAGACGGAAGCTCAAGAACGCTGCTTCCCCCTCCCCCCTCTCTAGCGGACAGTTGGTTCGCGCTGAGCAGGGGCGGGGCGGCCTGTGCATCTGGATACCGTTGCTAGGAGGGCGCCACGCCGGTGGCTTAGCGGGGGCTGCGGAAGTTCCCTCTGTGAATAGCCCGCAGCGCTGCGGCTGGTGGAAGGTACTCAGGGGGGCGAAGCGGCGGGGGGGGGCGCCCCCGAGATGGCCAGGGCTTGGTCTGCGGGGGCATGGGGTGGGGGTGGCTGGCTGGGAAGGAGGGATGCAATCCGCGTCCCCCGCCCTGAAGAATGGCGTGGTTCAACAGGGGCAGCTGGACTCTGCTTCCCCTGTTGGATTTCTGCCTGCAGGGGCCAAGATCCCCTGCTGTGCACCTTTTCCAAAAGGAGCCCCAAAGGGAATGCCTTTGCAAAGGAGTCTCAGATCAAGGCTTGCACTCTTCCACCTGCCTTTCTTTGCAACATTGACGGGGTGGACACTTACATATCTGGGGGTAAGAGAGATTTCTTGCAAAGGCTGAAAAAAGAATTTTTATTCTTTTTTTTTTCCCCTCCTCCTCCCCGGGGTGCCCCCCCCAGATGCAATGCTGGACTTCTGCCCAGGTTGGGAAAAGGTGCCATCCTGGGAGGTTGCAGATACAAAGAGTTAAACTCGTAGCCCAAATTCGACAATTCTGCATCTTGTAAGCGCAAAGCAAGCCATCGCCGCTCGCCATTTCCTGGTGTGTAAGAGGAACAATACAGGTGATCCTCGACTTACAACAGCCCTTTTAGTGACCGTTCAAAGTTACAATGGCACTGAACAACGGGACTTATGGCCGTGTTTCACAGTTATGACCTTTGCAGCATCCCCATGGTCATGGGATCAAAATTGAGACACTGGGCAATTGACTCACAGTTATGACCGTTGCTGTGTCCCAGCAAAGTCCATGGGGGAGCCGGATTCACTTAACAACCGGGTTACTAACTTATCAAACTGCAGGGATTCACTTGGCGAGAAAGGTCGTCAAATAGGGCAAAACCCACTTAACAAATGTCTCACTTAGCAACATAAATTTTGGGCTCAATTGTGTCGTATGTCGAGGACTACCTGTATTGGGATGGAGAAAGAAGATTGTGCAGAAGGATGCACGTTCACACCCACACAAAACCCACACAAACTGCAGTTGTGCCCTGGAAGGCATGATGATAAACTTATCAGGAAGCATATCGCTGAGTTAATTATTTGATTGAAAGATTGATTGATTAGGTATTCATCAATAAGGTATTTCATTATTATTTGATTATTGACCCACAACAGTTGTTTAATTATTATTTAATTAATTGATTAGTTATGAACCATAACATTTGTTTAATTATTATTTGATTTTATTGACCCATGACAGTTATTTAAATATTATTTGACTGATTAAATATTCACCCATAATAGTTATTTAGTTGTTATTGGATGGATGGATAAATGGACTCATTCAGTCAATCAATCAGTCAATCAATCAGTTTATATAACTGCCTCATCTCACTTCTCTGACCCTATTAGATTTCTCCAGGATCCATTCATCTTTTACACTTTTGGAAGAAATGCAGAATACATTTTAAACTTCACAGCCCTTCAAAAGCCAGAATTTTGGCATTCGGAAGGTTTGTCAATTTTTCATGTGTCTAATATTTTGATATTTACTCTCAGGGCGCATACAGTGAAAACAAGCCAAGAATTAAGGCGAGAACTCATTGGAAGCAATTCTTAAAATACGATTTTAAAACTAGGGTGGATAACCTTCAAGTTTGACCTTTTTTGGGGGGGGGGAGATGAACATCAACAGCCCATCACCGAAAGGCTTGACGGAAGCACATCGCCGCTACTCTTTCTTGCAAACTGCCTCGGAAGGACTGGACCAGAACGAATCGGATTCGGAAAGCCTTGCTGAGGAGGCCCAGTACCAATGGGAATTGCAGAGACGGATCTGTGACACTCAAGAACGGGTCAGTTGGGCCTATGAAGAAGAGGCAGATGACCGCATGGAGAAAGACAGTCTGGAAGACATGTGCCTGAGCGAAGAAGAGTCCGATGGAGAGGAAACACAGAGGCCGAGCGAGGACCAGGATGAAAGAAGAAATCTGGAAAATGAAAGGTAAATAAGGTCCTTTCTAATATCCGGTGAAGTTGGGTTTTTCCATCTCTGTAGAATAAATCTCTGAGCCCACCATCTGAAGGTAGCTCTGTTGGGATCCGACAAAGCAGTATCCCTCCTGTGTTTTTTTTTCTTCTCTTTTTGGGCTGATTGTCCCATTCATAGGACTACCAATAGTCCTCAAGTTACAACAGTTTGTTTAGTGACCAAAGTTACAACGGCACTGGAAAAAGTGACTCACAACTGTTTCCCACACTTACAACCATTGCAGCATCCCTCACGGTCACGTGATCCAAATCCAGATGCTTGGCAACTGACTCGTATTTATGTCGGTTGCCCTGTCCCGAAGTCACGCAATCCCCTTTTGCGACCGATTTAAGTATTGTCGAGCTTTGAAACTGGCTTTAAAACGGCTCATACAGGCAGTCCTCGGCTTACAACAGTTCATTTAGTGACTGTTCAAAGTTACAGTGGCCCTGAAAAAAAAGGGACTTATGACCGTTTTTCAGAGTTACGACCTTTGAAGGCTCCCCAGGATCGCCTGATCAAAATTCAGACGTTTGGCAACCGTTTCATCCTTACGACCGTTGCTGTGTGTCCCAAGGCATGGGATCCCCCTTTTGCGACCTTTTGACAAGCAAAGTCAATGCGGGAGGCCAGATTCACTTAATAACTGGGCTACTAACTTAACAACTGCAGGGATTCACTTGGCGAGAAAGGTCGTAAAATGGGGCAAAACCCACTTAACAACTCTTGCATAGCAAGATAAGTGTTGGTCTCAACTGTGTGTAGTGAGACCTCTTTTGCACTGGCTGATTCTTCTATTGGAGGCAGAATTGACAGCCTGTTTTTATTCCAAAGAATCATGATTAGCCCTAGGATTTTAAGATCTGTCCTGAGCTATTTTCTTTCCCTCTTCTTCCTCTTCTCCCTTTTTCTTCTCTCTTTCTTTTCAATGGAAGCTTTGGAAGCAAGGACTGTCATGCTGCTGGTGTTTGAGATCTACCCTTAGAGGCTTAGCAATTTGTGTGTGAGTGAGTGAGAGAGAGAGAGAGAGAGAGAGAGAGAGAGAGAGAGAGAGAGAGAGAGTAATACAAGTAGCTCTCGTTCAGTGACTGGCTTGTTTTGCGACTGTTTGCAGCAACGAAGGTGATGAAAAAAAAAGTGGTTGTATGATCAATCCTCGCCTTTACAACCTTTGCAAGTCTGCAAAGCAAAGGAAAGCTGAGGTTAGATCATAAGCCTAGTCATGGGGTTCACTTACTGATCGCTTTGCTTAAGGACCAAGTTGTTGGTCACTAAACAAGAACTGGCTGTAATTTTAAATGGATTGCTACAGACAGCTATTGACCCTCGACTCTCCTTTTTCCTAAGCCAGTTGTCCATTTCAGGCAGATAAAACCCACTTGGCTACTTCTGAATCTTTGCAATACCAGGCAACATGGTTTTACTGAGCTGTGTTTTAATTCACCGATTTGTATCTTTTCCTTATATTTAATCCTGCTTTTGTATTGATGTTATTCTCTGTTTTTCATCATTTGCCAGTCTCATAGAAGAGCATTTTTTCATCCTCTGGTTGAAAAAAAAATGCAGATAATCATTTTTAGAAGCAGTTAGCTGAATAAATGGCAAGTTAATGGCTATAAATTTCATTGATTTCAAATAACATACAGAGGGCTGCCATGTTCAAGAGATCTTAGACTGTATCACTCTGGAAAAGATTATTATTTTGAAGGATTTATGGGGGGGAAAGCACCAATGGACCGGTTGTCTCTTTTTTATTCAATAACTGCCTAAGTGCAAAATTAAAACATTCCTCACTTGTTCCGAGAGCCGCATTAACTTTCCTCTTCTGTGCAAATAGAAAATTGGATTTGTTCTGCTCATTGGAGCGTTAATGCCACATAAATGCCAAATAATGGCGGTTTTCAAAGGATTAAATTAAGCCCGAATTGAAAAATGATAAACATGTTCTACTTAATGCCCTGCTTGGAGACAAACATCGCAAAGAGAGAAAAGGGGACTCATTATGAACAGCACGCTTCCCATATGCCTCTCCGATGGGCAGAGTGGGGAGCTATTGAATGGTTTTTATCGCAAGCAGGAAAGGATGCTAATTGTTTGAAGAGCAGGGCCTGCATTGGGTGGAGCGGGCAGGAAGGATCCTGATCTTGCCTTTCAGGGAAAATTTAATTTGATGCGTTTCCAAATTAGCGCACTGCTAATTCAGATGGAGTCCATTAAGGCTAACTTGTCTAATGTATTATCTATCTATCTATCTATCTATCTATCTATCTATCTATCTATCTATCTATATCTAATCTATCTCTTTGTATCTATCTATCTATCTATCTAATCTATCTCTTTGTATATATCTATCTAATCTATCTCTTTCTATCTATCTATCTCTATCTATCTCTATCTCTATCTATCTTTATCTCTATGCCTCTATCTCTCTATGTCTCTCTCTATCTGTCTGTCTAATCTATCTATCCATCTTTCTTTCTTTCTTTCTTTCTTTCTTTCTTTCTTTCTTTCTTTCTTTCTTTCTTATCTATCTATCTTTTACTGGCCGCCCATCTTACCACAGGGTAATGTGCTTATGATATCCACACTCACTAGTAACTTCAGAAAAAGGACCAGTCATCCTTTTTTATACAGGTAGCCCTCGACTTACAACAGTTCATTTAGTGACTGTTCAAAGTTAGAACGGCATTGAAAAATGTGACTTATCACCATTTTTCACAGTTACGACCTTTGCAGCCTCCCCACAATCATGTGATCAAAATTCGGCCGCTTGTCAACTGGTTCACATTTATGACCAGGCTCACATTTGTGTCCCAAGGTCAGGTGATCACCTTCTGCCACCTTCTGACGAGCAAAGTCCATGGGTTGCTGGGTGCCATGCACCCAAATTTTGATCCCATGACCACAAGGATGTTGCGACGGTTCTAAGGGGGAGGAAGTGCAGAACTGTACAGGTAGTCCTTGACTTACAACCATTTGTTTAGTGACAGTTCGAATGCAGCTTGTGACCGGTCCTCGCACTTATGACCATCACGGCATCCCCATAGACATATGATCAGAATTCAGGAGCTTGTGAAGCAGATGGTTGCAGCATCTCCCAGGCTCCTGTGTTCACCTTGCAGCTTTCCCAGCCAGCTTCCGACAAGGAAAGTCAATGGCGGAAGCCAGTTTCGCTTAATGACCGCACTGTTCATTTAACAACTGCAATGATTCGCTTAACAACCATGGTTTAAAAAAAAACCCGGGTGGTAAAAATCAGCCGTGACTCTCTTCACAACCAACCTTGCTAAGCCATGGAAATTCCAATCCCAATTGTGGCCGTAAACTGAGGACTGATGATAAAAGTGCATTCTGATCAGGACAAACAAAATATCGCCTTTTCGCCTCCCTTGAGGAAGCACCTTTCAATCTCTCCTAACGTGCAGGAATGATGAATTAATATATTATTTATCTATTAAATTTGTTTGCCGCCCAGGTCACCGCAAGGCGACTCCGGGCGGCGGCTCCCAACATGAATTATTTTGGGACAATTAATAAAGACGATTGAGATTTCGAAAGTTGTTAAAAACCGTGGCCCTCTTGGCTTCACTTTTAAATTTCTTTCTTCGCCCCTTGCTTTGTGTTTAGCTCTCAGGACAGCATCGTGGACGAGTATTCCGAGCTGCGCTATGATCCCAATTGGAAAGACAGTCAAAAAGGGAAAAGCTTCCTCAAATTAGAAGACTCCCATCAGGAGGAACTCAAAAACTTCAGCGTGTCCTCCCTTGAGCTGGCCTGCTCTCCTTCCCAGGGCAGGCTCCTCTCCGAAAACTGCCAGTTACAGGGAAGTCCTCAAAATATCTCCTCAGCAACTGATGGAGAATTTTGGAAGCCTTCTGGTGATGAACCTGGAGACGGCAGAGACAGACCTTTGAGGCTCGATAAGAAAGGAAGAAAAACAGGCGTTATCTACCATTATGGCAGCAATGACAGTTTGGCCAGCTCCGGCTGCAGGGTTCATTTCAAAGAACCCAAACCCAGATCTGAAAAAGACTTCATCGAGAAAAACAAACACACGCTGGGATTAGCCACCCAGCAGAAAAACAGTTCCTACCTTCGGCTCCATGGCAAAAAGCAGAGAGGAGGGTGCCAAGAGAAGATCATTGTGGTAAGGCTGTTTTAATTAGAAAAATGGAACGGGGAACGGGCATCCTCCTGCAAAGCTGAGCATTAACGTCCTTTTGTTGACCAGAATGCTTCTGGGTCCTGTAGACTTGAAAATTAAAAAAAAAACGGGGGAGGTGGCTATTGCATAGGACTTTTTTAGATTTTTCTCTAAAAAAAATCTTCAAAGTCAAAAATTAAATTTAAGTCTTGGAGTGCCGGGAGAGGGAGGATCTTAGAAGTCAAGAGGTGGGGAAGATTTTCCCTCTTTGCTTTATCATAAATGGGTGTTTTGGTAGGGGATCCGTTTGCAAACGTTCACAGCAAGCTTTCCAATTTTCAGACATACTATCCAGGTAAAAGAGGTGACCTAGTCTGCTTCACAGTATCATCTCACCTGTTAGTCTTCCTTCTTGCGTAAGGAGTCTGAGATGAAGCCGGGGGTGTTGTGCTGTTGAATAAAATAGGTGTTCTTTTTTAATGCTGGTAAAAATAAAATCGCAGTAAGCACTGAGCAGGCTGGAATGTATGGTTCAAGGGAAGCTGGCAATTTCTTCCCCCAACTTAAAATTCCAAAAATCTTGTATATGTTGAGAGTACGTGGTAGGTATACTCACATAAAGGCTTCCTTTGAGAGGTCTTTCTTAGTAACAAACTAGAAAAAAGAAAGAAAGAGGGAGGGAGGAAAGAAGGAAAAGAAAGAAAGGAAAGAAAAAGAGAAAGAAAGAAAGAAAGAAAGAAAAAAGAAAAGAAAGGAAAGAAAAAAGAGAAAGAAAGAAAAAGAAAGAAAGGGAAGGAAGGAAGGAAGGAAAAAGAAAAAGAAAGAAAAAGAAAGGGAAGGAAGGAAGGAAGAAAAAAGAGAAAGAAAGAAAGAAAGAAAGAAAGAAAGAAAGAAAGAAAGAAAGAAAGAAAGAAAGAGAGCAGTTTAGATTGGGCTGGGAAGCCTTGCCTGTGGGTGCGATCCAAGGTATCTCTTGGATTTAAGAGGAAAAAGAAAGAAGAAAGAGAGAGAAAGAAAGAAAGAAAGAAAGAAAGGGAGGGAAGGAAGGAAGGACTGCTGTATGGCTAAAATGATTAGGAGAGAGCGAGGGAAGAAAGAAAGAGAGGAATGAAATCTTGAGTTTCTTATACAGTAATAAAGGCAGGATAAAAATATAATATGTTATTGCCACCCAGAGTCACTTTATAGGGAAGATGGATGGCACACAAATTTAATGAAAAAAGAAATAAAATAATATATAAATAAATACATCACTTAGTCAGGCTGCCCTTTCCCTACCCACCCACCCCCTCTCCTATATTTTAGTTTGTTGCCTTTGGCTAGCAATTATCCTTACACCCAAAACGGGGACCATAGAGACCCTCTATTTTTAATTTCCAGGAATGGTTTGGGAGCCTCTGTGAGGCCAGGGGCGTTTGGGGGAAATCAGGACCTGTTGTCCTGGTGTCTTGTAACCTTCTGGCTTTCTGTGGATTTATTGAAAAATAAAATAAAATCAGAGGGGCGGATAAAACCGGGTGCGGTTGAGACTTGAGATACTGCCGAGCTTCTTGGCGCCCGCGATCACTGCGTTGCCGACTTCTGCCTGAAGACAAGACGCCCTCAAAACACAACTCTGCGCTGCACAAAAAGCATCGCTCGGCTAAAGCATCTTTCAGCCTTTGGGGAAAAGCCTTCTATTAGCGCTCTCCATTATGACGGCTACGGCCCCGTCCTTAAATGGGTGCACACCTGCGCTAGGCAGTCTAAACCTGGTTGGAAGCGAAACGTCCCCTTAATTCCCGTCGCATTTTTCTCAAGCACCGACTTCTTTTTGGCAGGATTGCCTGATTCTCTAAGAATCCGAGGACGGCGGTGATGATGATGATGATGATGATGATGAGTTTCTTTGAGAGAGGAGCTGGCTCCGACTCACTCAGCTGCGCTCCGACCCAGTTGCTTTCCTTCTAAAAACCCCTATCCCCTTTACTTCAAAGCCAGAAACATAATGTACAATTTTTTAATGGCTCTAGACTAAGGCACTCAGGCTTTCTCGGCCACTGCGCCTTACCTCCGTGTAAACACCTCATCAAGATTGCCCGGGCTTCCACAATAGCAGCCAAATGCAATTCAAGAACCCGGAGCCTTTGAAGTTCCCTTCCAGAGGCCGGTTTGCTGGTCCGGGATAATGACATCTCATGATTGCCAGCCTTTGTTGTCTCTTTTTTTTTCCAGCAGGGAAGCAATTACGGGCCTCAATTTAATAGAAGAGACATTACACAGCTTACGATGCTCAAAATGCAATTTCATTTGATCATTTTCTCAATTTGATTGGCATTAGTAGAACAGTTTTGGGGGGGGGAAACAAAATTGCGGGTCGAAGTTGTGCCCCTGTCTTCTTTTCAAAGAGCTAATGCAGAAGTACAGTGTGCTCTACCTGCCGGGCCCACAACGGCTGAGTTGCGCGAGAAGCACAAACATGTTTTGTTTTGTTTTCTCCTCCCCGTAACCGTAAACCTCTCCTGGAAAAGTTCAAATCTTCTTCCCGGTTTTTGCTTTCTTCTGTGTTGCAACTGACTGGCTCAGTTGTTAATTCATATTTGGATCAATGCAACTCGACGGGAGGGTTGTTTCTAGGCCCGTAGAAGCACTAAAAGTTGCAATGTTGGATTTTGCTCGGTTTCATATTTGGAAAGAGTGCCTCTGGGCACATCATTGTCCATTTGAGCTCATCTAAACCCCCAGATCTTGGCACATTATGAAGACTTCCTAGCTGGAGAGACACATTACATCACACTTCATCAAAATGTGTTAGTAAATACAGCATGCTGGTTGCATTCAGCCAATGTGGATAATAAACTTGGGCTCTTGTGCAAAGTCAGCCAATTGTGATTTATTTCATAAGGCATGATTACACAAACTTTGCTCCGGCATGTGTGTGAAGTGACTGAACGTTTAGAAACAGCTCTGTTTTGCTATTTTATTCCAAAGGGAGCTTTCCCCAACTAGAATTCCCCATCCATACATTTCTGTTGCTATGGACATGAGACATGGCCTCAGACATTATTGATATCTATTTCATTGGTATTTGTCATCCACAGTGTTCCCTATCCTACACTATACTTTCATGGTCATTTCAGACGATGCTTTAAATTTCTGAATTCCTCATGGTCTAAAATCTCTGATTGTCTTCTTCTGCACCTTGATATCTTCACTTGAGGCTCTTCCTTGGATACGCAATCCACAGAGTTTAGGTATAAAACTAAATATTTTAGCAATGGCTTCTGGTTTCTATGATGTTTGCGTGGTGCCATTTTCAGGCACAGTGCCAAGCAAAGATTTTAGAGTTTGCCCAAGGTCTTCAAATTCACTTTTATTTTAGTGTCTGGATTGTATCATTTATCTGATTTTAAGCTATAGTTTTAGCTCCACAAGGACGCCGTGCGAGTCTGTACCGGATTTAATTCTAAGTTTCGTTTTGGTTTTCTGGTTCATTGGCCAGTTAACCCTACATGTGATGCCACTGATGAGGTGAGGCCAAAACTAAGAAACATTTCTTTGTCAATAATTTAAGACCCAGTCTTCAAATTAGCTCGCAGACTTTTCTTTATTCTAAGTATTAAGCTGTTTACCAGCTTACAGGAAAAAAATCCTCACCCATCAGAGCCTCTAAAATCTTAGCATCTGAAGAGTGCAAGAAGATCTACTACGAATCGTAAACAGGATCCAGTTCTCACGAACGTGGATGGCTCAGCTTTGAAACTGGCTTTAAAACTGCTCATGCTATCTTTTTAAAGTTGTATTTTGGGATTAAAGCCGTCTAGAATCTCCTAACCGGTGTATAGGTTATGTGTGGACACACACAACGGTAAAATAAAGGAAAATAGAAATAATGGGGCACTCACACACAGCCCCAAACAAGTCCAGTACATCTGTGTGCTCCAATGGCCACATCTGTATTTCCTTTTCAAATTTTATTTTATTTTACCAGCAGCTTGATCCATCCAGCCAGCGCAATAATGGCCTTACTCCAACAGCTGCTGGAAACACAGGACTCGGAATAAGAGTCGCTACAGACAAGCATTAATCACTAGAGAAAAGGTCCAGCTAACAAGTTATCGTCTTGCCACCTGGAATCGAGGTTCCCCAGGGCTAAACCTTTCACTAAAACATTCTGCTCTATATGTGACTTTAATAAGTACCATTAAGCAGTTACTCTGAGTGCATATTCTCCAACCCGAGCGCCGGTGTGGTTAACAAAGAAGGCCTAGGGCGAAGGCCGGATGAAATGGAGGCGGTCAATGCAGGCAAAGATTAAATGGACTCTGGAAGGCTTTGTGTCCTACCCCTGGGAGATCCCCATCTCACCTCATGAGGAGTAGCACCTGAGGCCTTAACTGGAAGTTGACGAAGCTTTAACTTCAAAAACACACCCACGCAACCAGAACCACAAAATCTCTTTCAGCTTTGATGGTGCTTTCCGAGGGCCAGGAGAATTCCTAACCTCGGGATAGAGACGGATCCAGCAGACCAGCTGCTGGAGTGGAAGACCAGCATGAAGGATTTCTTCTATCCATCTAGAACAGTGGTGGCGAACCTATGGCACGGGTGCCAGAGGCGGCACTCAGAGCCCTCTCTGTGGGCACATGCGCCGTTGCCCCAGTCCTAGGCCTTCAGCTGGGTTTTATAAAACCTTTTCGCTTTAGGCCGCCACTGCCGTGTGCAAAAAAAAAAAAAAGGTTCAATCAATCAATCAATCAATTTCAACTTCTCGTGGGAACAAAAAAAGATCTTGCAAAGTTAGAATTAATTGATTGAACTTTTTAGTCCCACCCAGTCTGCCGTTACCACCGCAGCCACCCCAGCCAATGGGCCACGCCCAGCCAATGGGCCACGCCCTGCCAATGGGTTACACGCACCCGGCACCCGACGATGCATAAGTGGGTTTTGGGTTACAGTTTGGGCACTCGGTCTCTAAAAGGTTCGCCATCACTGATCTAGAGCGTTCTCTGAACTTTCTACTGATGACCGTGGTCAAAACACGGGGTTTTTTTCTTACCACAGAAGAGGACAATCTCTTGTCGGTCCTGAAATCCAGTTGCTCTGACTTCCTTCCACCTCCCTATGCTACCTTCTATGCCTTTTTGCCACCCTCACCCCCCAAAGGCATTAAATTAATTAAATTCAATGATTGAATGGCTTCACTGATTTTACCGAATCCGCTCTTAGCATACCTAGCTCAGCTTCTGACTTTCTGTGAAGCACACTAACACTTATCTTGGGATGATGGGAACACGGGTTTGTTATTTCCGGATTTGATTTGATTCTTTGTCGGAAATAAAAGATACACCAAGTTCAAGATTCTGGTTGGCTGTCCATGAGTGCCGCAGTAACGCTCCCCAAAAAGGAACAGAACAGAACCAAAGATGGAATACACCAGATTCAGCCAGGAGTTGTGGAGAAAGGGTTCCTCTCAAGACATTCCTACAGGAGAAGACGCTGGTCAACGGCTCAGGAATTTGGCAAAGCTTCCTTTCTAAGTTCCCTATCTCCAAATTGTGTGGTGCAGCTGTAGCCCACGCCGTGTTTCCAGTGTGGATAGACTCGACCATAGGATGACCTTTGGCAAGGGATCAGAAGGAACTCAGGAACCATGTTCTACATGCTTTCCCTATCGTCTTTTTCTCGTTAAGTCCCGGTACAGTTCTATTGATGCAAGAAGTTGCAATTAAGGGAAGACCTTCTGGGACTGATCCCCCCCCCCTAATTGTTGTTCTGAAGCATTGTGCTGAGGGGAAGGCCACCAGTGAACAGTCCTTGGGCTTAAAGAGATGGACCACTTACCAAGCATGCCCTTAAATTTGTTCAGTTCAAATAAAATCTCATTTGCTTTTTTTTTTCATGAAGCAAAAGTTTTCCGCTTCTAAGGTCTGTAAGGAAGACAAGTTGGTAATCTCACAAATGTTTCTCTTCAGAAAATAAAGTATACCATGAGATGACAAAATATGGCCCACTGATTATAACTAGCCAGAAGTCAAAGTTGAATATGGGGCTAGAAGAGATCCCAATCCCTAGCTCAGATGCTACCATAATCAAGACCCAAATAAAACCTTGTCTACTCTAAGATACAAGTCCCCCAGATGTCAAGGGTTAGTTTGCTTTCCACAAAATACCCCTGTTGCCTTCTGTTGGTTCAAGATCTGCACCAAAGTTTGTGTGGTGGGTTGAGGGCTACACTCCAAAAACAAGTAGGAACAAACCCTGCTTTTGCAGGGTAAATTTTGGCATGTTAAGGAGTGCAATAGGAGCCAGCAGCCCCTGTAAGTCTTTAAGACACCCATTTTGTGTCTTGATACCTCCCAAAAATGCAATAAAAAGGCTGAAAAAATTGACCTCATTCTAGTTATGGGAAGGGAACTCTGGACCACAGAAGTAGAATTGGCAGAGGGATACATTTGTACCTCTGTCCAAAGAGATGGTTTCACCATGGCTTGTTGACTAAACCATGCTGAATTGGATCTACATCCTGGTTTCCAAGCATAGGCAGTCCTTGACTTACAACAGTTCATTTAGTGACAGTTCAAAGTTACAACGGCAAGGGGAAAAAAGGGACTTACAAGCGTTTTTCACACTTACGAGCTTTGTAGCAGCCCCATGATCACGTGATCAAAATTCAGATCTCTGGCAACTGGTTCATACTTACAACCGTTCCTGTGTGCCAAAGTCACGTCCCCTTTTGTAACCTTCTGACAAGCAAAGTCAACGGGGGAAGCCAGATTCACTTAACAACCGGGTTACTGATGGGAAGAAAGGTCGTAAAAGGAGGCAAAATTCACTTAATGAATGTCTCACGTAGCAACGTAAATTTGGGGCTCAATTGTCGAGAGCTGCCTGTGTGTGTAACACTGCCACCCAAGATAGTACAGGACAGGAAAGGAAAGGCGGAAGAGAAAAACCATTGTCCTGCTCTATGACTGGAAACTCATGAACGCTGTAAATAGACTTTCTCTCTTTTTAAAAAAAAACAAAAAACAAAGTTACACACCGCAAACCTCTCTATTCTGTTATGCACAAATTTAAGAAGAGAAAAAATAAGAATACCCGTCTTATGTAAAGAGAAACTCTTGGGGAAAGAGGGCACAAGGATTCACTTAACAACAGAGACGTTCTGCTCAAATGTGGTTGTAAACTGAGGACTACCTGAAGCTTCATTTGCGTTGACTTCACACGCTAAGCAAACCCCGAACAAATAGAACGATAGCTTAGCAGGTTGGGTGAATCACGCTACAATATCATCCCATTGTGTAATCCAGACCCTGTTTTACTCCATGCAAGCGTGGAGCAAATGACTAAGGGCAAAGGCAATATTACAGAATATTTTTCCCCTTGAACAGAGAATCTCCCTTGTTTCAGATTCAAAACCCCTGATTTTATTCCTGGTTACAAACAGGCTCTTCTGCTAGGAATGTTGTCCTTCAAGGCCCAAGCTTCTTAGCTCAGACGGCTAAAGCAAGCAAACATTTCTTAACCACCTCAAGAATAAAATCCTATTAGTGCCGCAGAGGTGTTCTGAGGGTTGGTATCAAAATCCCCTAAACCCAAGTCCTCCTAATTAAGTGAAGTATATGATGTCAACCAGTTTGCAAAAAGGCTACTTTCAGGGCTTATGTAAACATCTGTATAGGGCTCAGAAGTGGAGCATTTAAATTAAATGTGTTTATTGTGCTAAAGCCTGAGGCAAATACGGGATTTTTCCCCCGTCAGTCGTTTTATATTTCTCTTCCCTGAAATTCAAATGCTTTTTGGAGCACCCAACTTTTCCTCTCTAGCCCACTCAGTTCAGTTTGTCTCCTTGGCTTATTGTAAGAATAAAATACCATCCATAATCTACTAAAGGTTTCCTGTCTGTTTATAGCAATAGTACTTAATCTTATAGACCACTTCATAGTGCTTTCCAGCCTTCTCAAAGTGGTTTATAAAGTCAGCATGTTGCCCCCAACAATCGGGGTCCTCATTTTACCGACCTTGGAAGGCTAAGGATCAAACTGCTGGCAGTGGGCAGAGTCAGCCTGCAATACTGCATTCTAACCACTGTGTCACCATGGGAAGGAAGGAAGGAAGGAAGGAAGGAAGGAAGGAAGGAAGGAAGGAAGGAAGGAAGGAAGGAAGGAAGGAAGGAAGGAAGGAATAGCAATAGCACTTAGACTTATATACCACTTCAAAGTGCTTTGCAGCCCTCTCTAAGCAGTTTACAGAGTCAACATACATTGCCCCCAACAATCTGGGTCCTCATTTTACCGACCACAGAAGGATGGAAGGCTGAGTCAACCTTGAGCCCCATCAGGATCGTACGACCTAGTTCACCTCTCCCTCCTCTGCCAGGCTGCAAAAGTTGGGGACCGCTGTCTTAGGACATTCTTTTTATCCAACCAACTTAGAACAGAATCTAAGTTTCCTATATGATTTGTTCCTTTTAGGCTCACCAGTCTGCATGCAGGCCTCCGATGGATGGCGTGAGCTCCAGCCAAGCCACATCCCTGCAAGTGACCCCCTTAAGCCAGCGCTCCACCCAACCTCCCTTGGGAACCCAGGTGGAACTAAGAAGCCAGCCGAGCGGTGGTAACAATCTGTTAGAACTTGAGAATGTTTGTCCAGATTCCACTGCTTACCGAGAAACATCCGAGGTGGAGCAGGACAGCAGATGTGCTCCGCATTGTGAGTTATATCCACCTGCCTGCCTTTCCATTGCAGATCACTCCAGTGAAGACAGCCCTCTGTTCTCTGGCCAGGCTCCTTACCTCCTTCAGCACCATGCCAAGAAACGGTCCATGAATTTAGCCTTTGCTGGGACACCTCTTCAGCGGAGTTCATACCACAACTTTCCAGGGTTTCCTTCGCCATGTGCGGGTGAAAAGTGCCAACCCGGCCTTGAAAACATCTCTGGACTCCATCACCCATACTTCTACAGGTGTACTGTTTCAGAGCCTTTCCCCTGTCATGGCAAGCACTGGAATCCATTAGGGCACAAACGTGTTTCGTATGCTCACGACGGTGGCCAGAAAGAGCCGGTAAACGGAGCAGTTGCATCTGGGGAACCCTGCCACATTTATACAGAAGAGATCCCTAACAACTATGCTTTTGATTACTCAGGGTAAAGATAATGTTTTATGAATGCTGTTTTAAGACGTACTCAGGGAGATGATCTGTTGATACCTGCTTGTTTTATTGGCCCACCCGTTGAACCAAGGTCAGTGTAGCCAAGGCTTTCTGGACAAGGTCAGTATAGCCAAGACTTTCTGGAAAAATAAGAGTTCTGAGATGAAGAAGGGGTGGGAAGTGGCCATACAGGTCTTTGGGGAGCAGTTCTGGCTGGAAAGGCAGGGAAATGGCTGGCGACATCTCAGGTAGCTTCAGGTGGTTGATAACGGGAGTGGTGCTCCATGAGTGATGATTACAGGAAGGGATACATTGGGGCAGGGGCCTCAAACCTTGGCAACTTGAAGACTTGTGGACTTCATCTCCCAGAATTCCCCAGCCAACATGGCTGGCTGGGGAATTCTGGGAGTTGAAGTCCACAGGTCTTCAAGCTGCCAAGGTTGGAGACCCCTGCCTTGGAATACAAGGCAAAGAAGTCAGAATATGAAGGATATTGAAAAAAATATATAGGCAGGATACAAAGATAGACTGGAAACTAGAGAAGGGGTTGGAAGAGAGGACTTATCCGGTGAGAACATCACCACCATTGGATTATTTGGGCTGCAGGGTTCCAAAAGGCTGCACGTTGACCAGGGGGGTTGCATTGCAAGCTGCTCACAAAAGTTGGTCCCTTTTCATTGCTTCTGTGTCTTTTTTCCTGGCACTCCTCTTGACTTGCCCTTGTTCCTTGAGGTCATCACAGCCACCTGCTCCTCCCCCGGTGAAAAGAACCCTCTCTCCCACGGCACGGCTCATCCAGGCGGTAGAACGGCATCATCGAGAACTGTCTCAGCTGGCAGATGACCACCTCGCTAGGAATCAGCTGGCTAGCATGTTTCCCCCCATAATCCATAGAGGGGAGAGCGACTCGCAGCTCCACCTGGAGAGCGGCGAAGAGACCCAGCCCGTCCTCAGCCGCAGCAATTCCGAGGGCTACTTGCTTCAGATGGAAAAGCAAAAGGAGAGGAGAGGAAAGAAAGGGCACCGGAAGGTGAGCCAAGAGAGTAGCAAACGGAGCAAGCAAGGGAGGTGTGTCGGACTTTCTCTTGGGGTGTTGCGTCATCATAACGACCTTGTAGATCAGGGGTCTTCCAACGTGGCCCTTTTATGACTTGCGGACTTCAACTCCCAGAAGCTGAGGAATTCTGGGAGTTGAAGTCCGCAAGTCATAAAAGGGCCAAGTTGGAAGACCCCTGTTGTAGATAGAGCAAGAGTTTCTGATTGTCGGTGGTTTTGCAGAATGAACAGTAAAATATATATATATATATAAACATATTTCTCTCCCTTCCTAGACTAGGCATGTAGAAAAGACCTTGGGAGATGGGGCAAAGGCCGAGGCTGCCTTGGGCAATGGTCAGAGAAGAGAAGGCGTCGCCTTCTGCTGCATAACAGGGTTGAGAAAGAGGCTCAAAAAGGACCCTCTGTAATTCTCAGGCTGCAAAATAGACGGCGGGAGGTTTGTACTTTCAAGGAGCCCTTGATGCTTTCTCTGAGCTTGTGGGGGTTTTCTTGCAGCCATCCACATTGCCCAAACGTGGCCACATCATCACTTCTAGCACAGATGAGGTTAACTAGTTTGGGTAATGAAACAGCTGCAGGAAAACTCAGAGAGAACTAAGAAGAGCCCTCATTTCAAACCTGACCTGCAAATGTTCTCCTTTATTTGTACTTTCGGGACTCCTATAATATTATTATTATTATTATTATTATTTATTGA